TTGATTTTTTTTGTAGAAATTGGAAAACCTGTTTTACAAAAAAGGTCCAACAGAGTCAACCCTAACCGTAACCCTCCACAGGTACAAATGAATACTGTCCAGGACCCGTCACAAATGAACACCGCCCAGAACCCGTCAGAAGTGGTCAGAAAACAGGCTCAGTTGCAGTTGCGTATGTGGTGGAATGATCTAGATGAATATGGTCAGAAGTGGGTGAAAAAACAGTTAGATGCCCTTATAAACATTTTGGAAATCAAACCACGGGAAGATTTAATCAGGGCTTTGGTGACTTTTTGGGACCCTGTCCACAAAGTTTTTCGTTTCTCGGACTTTAAGATCACCCATAATTTGGAGGAAATGGCCGGGTACATTGAGTTTGGCCGGGATTTGAGGAAGCAGCAACTTATTTTTTCGAGGGCTCCTTCGGTGCACAAGTTCTTTGAACTCCTGAATATCAGTAAACAGATAAAGAAGGCCCATGTAAGCAAAGGGTGATATTCTTTCCATTTATTGTCTCAGCTAGGTTCGAAACGCACGAAAAGAGGTTGAGCAATAAACAAGATAAGGGCCTTTTGCAAATTCATCGCTGGTTCGCTTTTATTGTGGTGTTTTTGGGGTTCATGGTTTTTCCAAATGAGGAAGGGACAGTGGATACTCGTATGGTCAGAATTGCACAAATCCTCACTACAAAGGAAGATCATACACTTGTCCCGTTAGTGCTGGCTGATATTTATCAAGCATTGACATTATGCAAAGCTGGGGCTCAATTCTTTGAAGGTTGCAATATCCTTCTACAAATGTGGTTGATTGAGCATCTTCGCCACCACCCCAAATTCATGAGTTATGGTTCAAGCCCGGATAACTTTATTACAAGTTATGAGGAAAGGGTAAAGGACTACAACGTGCCAGAAGGGTTTGAAGCCTGGGTTTCCCGCTTGAAAGCTCTAAAAGTAAGTCAAGTCGAGTGGACTATAGGATGGCTCCCGATGACGGAAGTCATATACATGACGGCTACCAAGGGTTACCTGAGGTTGATGGGTGTAAGGAGTATCCAGCCATATGCACCGCAGAGGGTATTAAGGCAGTTGGGAAGATATCAGATTGTGCCCGAAGATGAAGATCTAACCACCCATGTCATTGAGCTACATCCCTAAGCTACATTGCCCGAGGCATTAGTTCAGCATGATTGGAATGGCTGCCGGTATTTGAAAAATGGCACCCAGGTACCAGATGTTGCAAAGGGGAAAGTGAATCCAAATTATGCCGAATGGTTTGAGAAAAAGTCCTATGTAAACAATGAGCCAGAGCCCGAGCCCAAGCCCGAACCCGAGAGTCCTGCCAAGAGACCTCATGTTCAAGATTTTGACGACAAAATCCAAGAAAGGTTGGCCTGGGGAGAAAATGAGAAGAAAAATCAAGCCGAGATTCACGCCTTGAAAGAGAAGCTGAGAAACATGGAATTCAACAATGATCTCCAAGCACAAGAAGCCGAAGGTGAAAGAAGAAAGTTGGCCCAAGAGAATGAAGCTCTCCGAGCCCAAGTTCGAAAAATGAAAATAGAAATTGAGAACCCGGGCAGGAGTAGAAAAGACGAAAAGCTCATCTACAACCTTACGCAAAAAGTGCATGATTTTGAGGATGATTTGCTAAAGACTGAAGCGGAGCTAGCAAATGCCCGAGCTAAGTTAGCTAAGAATACGGAGGGATGGGCCAGTTTCGTTCGGCAACTGAAGGAGATCGTGCGATTCCAAATTTCCAATTCTAAAATTCTCTCTTTCTTCATTTCTTCTTCGCCATGGAAACTTGTGGAACACTTCACTTTTTGACATTCAAAGTTGTATATAGAAACTTGTAGACATTCACAGTCACATCGTTAATAGATATTTGAATTGAAGAATTGATCAGTTGAAAGTTCGCGAAGATGTTGGAAGATCAGGTAGCGTACTTGTTGCAGAGGTATTTGGGGAACTATGTTAGAGGACTCAACAAAGAAGCTCTCAAAATCAGTGTTTGGCAAGGTAAATTCCTAATTCTCTGAATGTACAGTTGATTTTCTATTTAACCATTAGCNAAGACTGGCAGCATGGTGAAAGAGGTACATATCGAGCATCTCTGTGTAGTTCATGTCATTTTTTCAGGCACTGGACGATGTCACAACTCACTGGTAAATTGGAAAGACTCCAAAGGAGCATCCTACGGGATTCGAGAAATGGGGTTAAGAAGCTCTACTTAGTCAGCTGGGAGAATGTTGCGGGAGGGATCTTGGGTGAAAGGTCTTCGAGTTTTCAACAAGGCCCTATTAAGAAAATGGTTATCTATTACTTGGGTTGTCATGTACCTGTAGAGGATTATGTGTGACACTTGGGGTATTACTGCCTTGGACCACAATTATTCCTTCTTGAATCATTCTTTCTATTTCCTTTTTCAAAGCACGACAATCTTCAACAGTGTGCCCCTGGGCATTAGAATGGTATTCATACCTTTTAGCAGGGTCAAAGCTTCTCGCACGTGGGTCTATATAATTTAGAGGAATAGGTGTAATCATGTCGCAATGCTTTAATCTCTCAAACAAACTTGCATAGGACCCTCCTATTGGTGTAAAATTATCTTTCAGCCTTTGTTCCCTTCTACACCCTTGGCTTGAATGTGGATTATAGGGCACTTGAAAATTTTGTGGAGGCTGGTGAAGCTTTTACGGTGCTCGTGCTCGCCTATTGGAGTAACCCAGTGGTGGGACAGATGGTTGGACGCTGCTCGGAGGATAATACTGGGGTGGATTATGTGGAGTTTGGGGATGTTCATGGGGTCGGTATTGAGGCTGAAAGCATTTAGCAAGAATGCCCACTAGATCCTATCGTTGGCGGGGCTCAGCAACATCTTTTCTATCAATGTGAGGATTGTCCCGAGCAATTTGTTCCTTCCATCTGAGCCAAAATTTCCTAAAACTTTCCTTGGGTTTCTTTTCCATCTAAGATAGGGAGGAGAGGTCTGAGACAATGTCAATATTGTACTGAAAGTGTCGCACAAAATCTTGAGTCATGTCATCCCATGTATGCCATTTACCGACATCTTGACAATTATGCCATTCCAAAGCTGCCCCAGTCAGGCTCTCACTGAAATACGCCATCAGCAACTCGTCTTTCCCGCCAACACTTCTCATTACAGTAACCCCTCAGATGGGCTACCGGATCTCCACGTCCATTTTACAAGTTAAACTTTGGCACTTTAAACTCCGCCGGCAGATGAACATCAGGGAGCATATTAATCTGATTTCCTATCCCTTGCATGCTCCTTAAAGACTATTCTATACCTTTCAGCTTCCTGGATATTTCATCTCGCCCTTCTTTTCCTGTGACCTTTTCATTTTCAGCATGAGGCTCATTTCGAGGGCTCTGCTTGTACGAGTCAAGAACCTTATGGGCAACCTCTGAGGGGTAATATTGAGCATCATGAGCTTTGAGTGGGTATTCATTGTTGGGGATAGTGGATATGATAGGAGGGCAATTTTGGGGAAAGGTAATTGGAGGACGAGTGATGGAGCTACTAGGGTGATTGGGAAAGCTGTGATAAGCGGGTGGATCTGGAGAGTATGGGGGATCATCTGGCACTATGACCGGAGTTTGGGTAAGGGTAGCATCTAAGAAGCTAGGTGGTGCCTTCCCAGTCATCAGCCTGATACATGTTCGCAATGTGATGTCTTAACATCCTTACCTTTTCAACCAGACCATTGCCCTTTCAACCAATTGCTTTTGGGCACCAATATCAACCGACTCGATTCTGTTGTCGTCTGCCATTGCCTTTTGACCTTATGTTGTAGAGAAGAGTTATCACTTTAAGAACTACAAACCAACCACCTTTCTGCTATGAAGATGAAGCCATCACGTTAGCGTTAGGGCATTTAACATAAGATAGTCTCACTTTATGTGCAATGCACATAGCCACAGTTATCGGTTCTAAAATGACTTCGAGGGTATGAAGGTCATATAGCATCATCCCAATTTATTCATTTCAATCTTCTCTTTTCCTTTTTAGTCTAACACTTGCTTGCTCATTTTCCTTCCTTTTTTTTCTAATTATCACTCTAGTCTTTCCTCTCATTTCTCACATCCCCTAATTTCACCATATCTTTTTTTGTTTCCTTCTTTTTTAAAAAAAAAAATGATTCGATCGAACCCTATGTAGGTTGCATACGTATCATGACGCCACATGAATCAGATCTTTGCATAGTTTGGAAAGATCGAGAATAAAGTAAACAAACTAACGTTCTCTTTTTCTTTTCCTTTTCTTTTTTTTTTACCTTAATGACTACTCTGATGAGAAAAGAGAAATAAAAGAAGCAAATCTCTTTTTTTTTAATTTTTTTTTAATTTTTTTTATAGACTTAATGTTCTATAACATATACTAAACTCAAGCTTAAACGAGCATATATCTTTTTTGAAACAAATACTCTATGGGAAATTATTAAGGAAAAAACCCTAGAACAGAAAAATATTTTTTGATTCTTCTTTTTTTTTCAGGAAGGAAATCTAAAGAATAAACCACAGAAAAATATTTTGAATTTTCATTTGATATCCTAACGCAAGATTTCGAAACAAGCAATGAAAAAGATAAAACAAAATATTTTTGGATTTCAATTTTTGATTGCCTAAAGGAGAAATTCTAATGATAAACAAAGATAAAGTATGTTTTTTTTCTGTGTACAATGTCCTAAAGTTCTAATGAAAATAAAAGAATTTTTTTTCCAATTAATTTCCCAAAGAAAAACCTCAAAATAAAATCTTTTTCTTGAATTTTGGAATTACTATCTTAAAAGAAAACTTTTAAAGAGGTACTAAAGAAAATTCTTTTTTTTTTTGAATTTTTAGTCTTAATGTATTCAAAAGAAACATAAAAGCAATTTTTGTTTTAAGTTCTAGATATTAATTTTCTAAAGAAAACCACAAAAGATTTTTTTTGAAATTCTAGAGTTAGTATTCTAAAGAAAACATCTAACAGAAATATAAAAACGCCAATTTTTCTCTGGATATTTGATTTATTAGACATATTTTTTTCCAATACAAAATAGGAAATATAATAATAAAGAAACTCAACATTACTGTACAAATCTAGAAGTTAAGAGACGACATAAAAAGAAAAACAGAATCAAAATATTAAAAAAAAAAGAAAGAAAAGAAAATCATCTTTTAATCCACTCCCGAATGAGCGATCCTGCCTGGATGGTCCCAAGGTGTCTGCCATGCTTAAACTCCGGTAAATAGATCCACACCTATATGAGAAAACTATAACCAATAGTATGTGAGATAATGACACTCCCTATTAGACCCATGCAAGACATGATTGAGGCTATTTTTGCAAAATGACTTATGTGGCCAAAAGGTGGCTAGAAGTGCAAAATTTGGCTAAGACCCCGCGAAGCCAAGAACCTAAGATTTACTAGGAAGACTGGCCCTATGTGGGTTGCCTACGTATCTCGCCCCGAAAGACGAGAATCAGGTATGCGTAGTTCGGGCAGATTGGATACGGGCGAGAAATAAAAATAACAACGAATTCGGAGAAAAAAATATTTTTTTGTCTTTTGTTTTGAAAAAAATGATAAAACATGTAAACATCTTTATGGATTTTCTTTTCTATTTTTTTTTTTGATTTTTTCCTTTTTAAAAAAAATGACCGGGAAAATGCAAACTCTTTTTTTTTGGATTTGTTTTTCATTTTTTCAATATTTGGTTTCTTTTGAAATGGTGTGCAAGAAAATTATAATAGGGCCCCACTTGCTTCATTTTTATATTTTCAACCTCTTTTCTTTCTCATTTTTTCTTTTTCCATTTGTCCTCAACTATCATTGATCCGCCAAATGACCTTTTTACCCTTGAAGAAATGCAACATGTAGCACATAGGATGCATCAAGATAGTCTGTTATTTTGGGTACAACTATCCTACACGGACCCAACCCCTGTGTTGAGCCCCGTAAGTCAAATGCACGTGATGCAACAAACGCTCCTACTAGGGATCCGACATTAGGTTATGTTATTCTAGGTTTGAAAATATAGGTTTATTTGTTCTAGACCTGGCTTACCCGAGCAGACAGCTCGAGCCGAGGAGGGGCAACGTACCGGGAATACAGAAGCTTCACCGGCTTTGCAACTTGTCCGAACCTCGTTCTAAAATTGGAATGACTCTAATAGAAGAGAAGTCACACGAAGTGCACACTTCCCAGATGATTTAGAAGACTCAGAGAGAGGAGGGTTTCGCAACATTTTATATACAGTTCAACAATATCAAAGTGGTAAAAAGCAACATTTATCACATTAGGCCCAAACATGTAAACAAAACCAGATAATAAATAAAGCCAAATATAATAATTATTCTAAGCTCGAATTCATGAACCCCAAACCGAAGATTCTGGGTTACTTTCCCCAACAGAATCGCCAGAGCTGTCATACCTCCTTTTTACCTACCCGGAGGGGTATAAGAAGTGTTTTCCAATTTAAGTGACAATTGAAACAGGATTAATTATTAGAATTCAGAATCGCCACTTGGGATAATTTATGGTATCCCAAGTCACCGGTTCAAATCCCGAATCGAGGAAAGATTGACTCTGTTTTATAGTCCGCGAACACAGAAATCCGGGTAAGGAATTCTGTTAAACCGGGAGAAGGTGTTAGGCACTCCCGAGTTCCGTGGTTCTAGCACGGTTGCTCAACTATTACTATTGGTCTAATTATCTGATTTTAAAACACTTTTAAACCTATGTGCATTTTTAACTTAAAAACCGCTTTTATTTATTTAAGGAATTATTTCAAGGTTGTTTAAAACACATCGCGAGCCACGCTACATGAAATGCACCCATGAATCACGGCACGTTCCATTTAACCTTGTTGGAAATTAGAACCGGATCACATGAAATGTTCCTATTCAATGCATAAACTATGTCCAAAACCCAGATTTTAATTAATTCCGATTTACGAGATAAATGCCGACCCATCAACCCAGTTAAGTGAAACAGTCCAAAACATATGTTCAGCAATTGTATATGAGATTAACGCTCATTTTCTTTTATTTATTGTAGTTTCTCTTTTTTTTGACTATTATTGAAGTAACCAACTCATTTTCAGAATCACTAAGATCTATTCAAGCATGTCCAAGATCAATATTAGATGGGATTGTTCACATGTTTTCAACAACGAACAAGAAATCTTCATATTATGGAAACCATATTAACCTATTTCAAGAACTAAAGGCATAACGTAGATTCAAAGATTTTTTTAAATTAAATTTGTTTTAAGAAAAAATAAAGAACTACTCAAACAAATATAAAACTAAGAGTAAAAATCGTCCACTTAACAATGACTAGAGTACTGTAGTAAAGAAAACATAACGTTTCCATATGAAAAGATAAGAGAAGAATTTAGAATCAAACCTCAACACTAGAGCCGAAATTTTCTCAAAATCATATTAATGATAGATCTCAAAACCAAAGTGTACATCGAACCTCGTCGGAAAATTGGCAATAAAGGCTTGGACCCGAAACCTTAACGAAACAACTTCGACATAGATCGTATCTCAGCCATGATGAACCCGAAAACATGTAGCGGCAGATTCAGCAATCGAACAATGCTTCTACAGCTCCAATGTCACTTGAATTTCAGAGAAACTTAAGTAGAGGACTGGAAATTCGGACAACTTTCAAATCTTCCCTTTTGGTCTCTGATTTTGTTTGTTTTTGCATGTGTTCTTGTGTGTGTGTGTGTGTGTGTGTTAATGGGATATGAGAGAACTAGGTCGCTGGATGTGAGGATGAATAAGAAGAACGACGGGGGGTGGTCCTGTTGAAGAAGACGACGACAAAAGGGGCGAGTCTGTTTTTGGAGTTATACGGGTGATCCTATTTTTAGTCTTGATTTTCTGATTTTTCAGCTTTTTGGCGTTGTTTTTTTTTGTGGTCTTCTTTTCCACTGATTGCCTCTAGATCTAGGGCTCTCTAGAGTGTGTCCCCATTTTCAGAAAACGACGAGTGCTTATCTAGCCTCTAGCATTTCTTTTCAGCTCCTCCTCTTTTTTTGCTGAAGAAGATGTCCAGTTGCCTAGGTCTTTATTGTGTATTTTCAGCCGATTTTCCTTTTGGGTCCAGGGGTCTAGCTCTTTTTTTATAGGTTTAGGATTTTAGGGTTATATTTAGGTTAAGGGGTATAAGCTTAGGAATTATGGGCTTGGGAATTATGGGTTAGGTCCAAAAACTAGGCCTAAAAATGGGTCGCTTGAGCCCAAATTTATTCTTTCCCCGCGAATGAGACTAAAAATACGATCTCCTTTATTAATTAATCCTACGTAAGCAAAATAACTATTAAAATAAGACTAACAGTTAAAACAAAACTATTTTTGGGTATTTTTCAAGATTAAAAATGACTACAAAACATTAATGAAACTATTTTTTGTAATTTTCGTTTTCTCGTAATAAAATAAAGTAAAAGAGTAAAAATGAGTTGAAATAGCTATATTAGGCCTTAAGTAATTATTTACGTGCTAAAATATGAAAAATTTTGGGGAGGATCAAAAATCACATGTCTACAGCTGCCCCTCTTTGACTGGAAACGCAAAGAGTTTTCGGACAAAGAACGACTATACAGGTTTTGACCCGATCCTTATTTAGGGAGACCAAAACTAAGAGAAAAGGGGAATGTGACCGAGCCCTGATATCTGAGCTGCCTACATATCCTTGGCTATAAAGGAATCAGGCCACGTGTAGTTCAGAGGTGAGTAAGATGATGGAGTATACCGAGGTGGAGAGCTGGTCGACGTGCCGTTCCGCCGAGGTTCCAGTCCACAGTCCTGTTATTACATCAAAAATCAAAAATGAAAAAGACTAGCTAAGCCTGCCATCTACGAGTTACAAGATTCTTATCTATAAGTCTTCTGAAGCTTGATCTTGAGTCTTGAATGGTTCTTCATGCAGACTTTGGATTTGAACCTTGACGCTTGCTAGTTGCAGGTGCTAGTTCATTCTTCTTCAGCTTTTCAGACCAAAACCGGACAAACCATGCTTATGACTTCAACCATGTCTTGAGCAGCTCACATTTTCATCAACTTCTGCATCTGGATTCACTTCTTGCCTTTGTCTTTTCTTTTTTCTTTATTGTGACTAACTTCTGTTGATCACCACGGACTGTTGACTCGCATTCTTGCCGCGAGTTTCTTTTGTTGCTGACTTGCATTGTATTCTGAAGTGAATTCTCTTATCTCCAGGTAGGCCTGATTGCCAACATTTGAACTGCATCCCCTTGTTCTCCAGGCGGGCGCCTAATTACCAAACTTGAATTGTATTCCCTTTGTTACCTTAAACTATTTTCCTTTGAAACCTGTGTTGTCTTCCTTTGAATCTTGAACTATATTTCCTTGCTCTCCAGGTGGGCGCCTGATTGCCAAAACTTGAATTGTATTCTCTTGCTCTCCAGGTAGGCGCCTGATTACCAAAACTTTAACTGTATTCCCTTGCTCTCCAGGTGGGCGCCTGATTGCCAAAACTTGAATTGTATTCTCTTGCTCTCCAGGTAGGCGCCTGATTACCAAAACTTTAACTGTATTCCCTTGCTCTCCAGGTGGACGCCTGATTGCTGAACTCCTTTGAACCTTGCTACTCCCCTTTGTTCTTCAGGCGGGCTCCTGATTTTTGTCTTCCTTTGAACCTTGTTGCTTCCCTTCATTCTCCAGGTGGGCTCCTGATTGCTGTCTTCCTTTGAACATTGTTGCTTCCCTTCGTTCTTCAGGTGGGCTCCTTTTCAATTGTAGCCAATATCTTATTACGAGTAATTCCGACAACTTCAGGAGAAAAAGAGGCATTTACCTATTATAGAGATGGTGCGATTTGATTCTTTTTTTTATTTCATATTTATTCATTTCTCTCGGTCTTACGAGGAGAAAAACACGTGATTCGAGAAAATTTTTGAGAGACCTAAAATTTCTCCAAATTCTTTTCTTTCTAGAAACAAAGGTAAAAAGATTTGATTGAATATATATATATATATATATATATATATATATATATAATCATTTTTATTCAACATTTGGGTCCTGATTGCTGTCTTCCTTTGAACATCGCTGCTTCCCTTCGTTCTTCAGATGGGCTCCTGATTGCTATCTTCCTTTGAAAATCGATGCTTCCATTCGTTCTTCAGGTGGACTCCTGATTGTTGTCTTCCTTTGAACATTGCTGCTTCCCTTCGCTCTCCAGGTGAGCTCCTGATTGTTGTTTTCCTTTGAACATTGCTGTTTCCCTTCGTTCTCCAGGTGGGCTCTTGATTACCAACATTTGCGCTGCTTTTCCTCGAAACTTGAACTGCCTCCCTTGGTTCTTCAGGTGGGCTCATGATTGCTAAACTCCTTTGAACCTTGCTGCTTTCCCTTGGTTCTCCAGGTGGGCTCCTGATTGTTGAACACTTGCATTGCTTTTCCTTGAAACTTGAATTGCTTCCCTTGAAACTTGAACTGCTTCCCTTTGTTCTCCAGGTGGGCTCCTGATTGTTGAACACTTGCATTGCTTTTCCTTGAAACTTGAATTGCTTCCCTTGAAACTTGAACTGCTTCCCTTTGTTCTCCAGGTGGGCTCCTGATTTCCAACACTTGAACTGACCCCTGTGAAACTGCTGCTTGTGAACCTGATTACAACAAAACAAACAAACAAATTGTTATATATAATTTGTACAATTAAATAATTAAAAATTTAGAATTTAAATTATAAAACAAACACACACAAAAATATTAAAAAATTGAATTTGACACACGTAAATATTCATGATAGTTTGGTGCTACTAGGACTCAAATATCAAGCCTGAAACCCAATTGTTATATATACTTTATACAATTAAATAATTAAAAATTTAGAATTTAAATTATAAAACAAACATACACAAAATTATCAAAAAATTGAATTTGACACACATAAATATTCATGATAGTTTGGTGTTACTGGGCCTCAAATATCGACCCTGGAACCCAATTGTTATATATACTTTGTACAATTAAATAATTAAAAATTTAGAATTTAAATTATAAAACAAACACACACAAAATTATCAAAAAATTAAATTTGACACACATAAATATTCATGATAGTTTGGTGCTACTGGGCCTCAAATATCGAGCCTGGAACCCAATTGTTATATATACTTTGTACAATTAAATAATAAACATACAATTAATGTTGTTTAATTTACAGTTGACGACATGGACGCACCTATATAAAGGGCCCTAACTCTCGTGAGTTATTAGTGCTTCAGGGCGATCATAGGTCCACCCATATATGGGAGGGAGAGTTACTTTCCCAGACTCTCCGCGCTAGGAGAGTGGACGACTTGTGGGATTTTCTGAGGCACAGAGTTCTCCACGAGCGTGTAGTCCATCGCCTCCAGGCCACGAGATTCTATAGGATTATTGAGATCAGGCGGATACAGGTTGACTAGGCTTTGATCACGGCGTTGATTGAGCGGTGGCGACCAGAGACGCACACTTTTCACCTGCCCATTGGCGAGGTTACCATCACGCTGCAGGACGATGAGGTTTTTTATGGCCTGCCCGTTGATGGCATGCCCGTTTCACTGCCTATTGCTATGAGATCTGTGTCACGTGATGCTTATTTTGACATGCTGCAGCAGCTCACGGGTTTCGGGCCACAAGACGAGACTACATCGTCGGGTGCTAGTCGGTTGACTTTGACCCCTATTAGACAGCACCTGGAGCTACTCCACCCCGATATCACCGACAATACAGAGGAGGTACATATCACCCAGTATACGAGGTTGTTGTTGCTTCTTCTATTTGAAGGGGTCTTGTTCCCAAACACTTCGGAGAACCTAGTCAGCCTTAGATTTTTGCATCATCTTCAGCTGCTAGATGAGTTACCCTATTACAGCTGGGGTGCTGCTGTTCTCGGCTACATGTATAGGCAGATGTGCTGGGCGAGCATGGGCACTCAGAGAGATGTTTGTGGTTTTATGCTGCTTCTACAGGTGAAAACATATTCAAATAAAGTGTTCATCAGTTCCAACTCTACCTAGTTAGATTTTATCTTAAACATTACGTCAACTTTGTATGTTAGGTTTGGGCCTGGGAGCGGTTATTGCAGTTTCAGCCACCGCAACCACAATTACCTCTTATTGTAGCACCTCTGTTTCTCCCTCTAGCCAGGAGGTGGGTTCTCTGTCGTACACTTTCACGAGAGTATGATGCTCATCATAATCTCCCCCTCTGCAGTGATGTGTTGGATCTGCTGGAGGGCGCACAGGTAAATATGTACCTAAACTTACCTGGTGTAGATTAACTTAGTATTGCGCATACTCACGTTTCATGTTCTTATTTGATAGTTCATCTGGATGCCATACATCGACGATTTGATAGCTTCCCTGCCACCTTATTGCTTGGCTGGCCGATTGATTTGGAGCACTTCTGCCCCACTCATATGCCTCGATATTGTGGAGCATCATGCCTCGGAGCGGGTACTTAGGCAGTTTGGCCGCTCGTAGTATATACGGAGGGGGCCTATATAGGAGCCTACACATTATTAGAGGGATGATCGTTGCAAGGCGGACGACGCATTTATGGCATGGTTAGCGGCGCAGATCCATATTTGGGACCATCGAGATCAGATGATTCCGCCCCCACCTACACATATCTAGGAGGTGGATCTTCAGAGGTATATGTCCTGGTACTGGCACGTCACCCGAATTTTTATCGGGAACCCTATTCATTAGGCTGGCGGTCGGTACGTTCCATACGCTGGGCGATACGAGGCCTTGGTATGTTTTCTATTATTATTCATTATATAACTGTATTTTAGTGCAATATACGTAGTTTATATTTTATATGTTGTGTAGGCTATTGGACTACACACAGTCTATCAGATGAGACTGCAGATGTAGGATTATGTTGGCGATCCTGCGGACGCCTTGCAGGATTATAGTCGTCGATTTGTAGAGTTGGCTCCTCGGACACTGCAGCGAGCCAGGGAAGATCAGCGTTTGACACACATGCCTGATTATGTCGAGCCAGAGCAATATGAGCGAGGCCCTGGTGTGGCACGAGGTGGTGGTGCCCGACGAGGCGGGGGTGCCGGA